TTCCCTTACTTCTCAATTCACATCTCATACATATTTTCTTTGAAACTGAAGTTTTATATCTTGTTCAAAAGGTAACATTCATAGTTATTATTTATAGTCATTAGAAAATATTTTTTAATCAACAATTTTTTATCAACAAGTGAGACAAATTCATTTGTGCTTAAATCTTTTTCTCTATTTATCTGTCAGAGGGTGGAACTTTTTTGATGAAGGTAACATATAAAATAATTCATCTTCCTCCATGTCATCCTTCCTCTCTACTTGGCCTTGGTGAGACTGCAGCTAGAGTACTGCATCCAGTTCTGGGTGCCGCACTTCAGGAAGGATGTGGACAAGCTTGAGAGAGTCCAAAGGAGGGCTACATGCATGATTAGAGGCCTAGAGACCAGGTCATACAAGGAGAGGCTAAAAAACTTGGGACTCTTCAGGCTGGAGAAGAGAAGCCTCAGAGGGGACTTGGTAGCAGCCTATAAGTATATGAAAGGTGTACATCAGGGCCTGGGGGAGCATCTGTTCACCAAGGCCCCCCAGGGGAGGCCAAGAAATAATGGACACAAGCTGATTGAGGATTGCTTGAAGCTAGAAGTAAAGAAAAACTTCTTTAAAGGTTGAGTACCAAGGATTTGGAACAGGCTCCCCCCAGAGGTGGTACAGTTATCCACCCTGGCGATCTTCAAAAAGTGTCTCTTGATGGGGTGATCTGATCCCAGCAGTCTTTCCTGCCCAAGTGCAGGGGGGCTGAACCCGATGATTTGTAAGGTCGCTTCCAGCCCCTAACATCTTTAAAAATATGAAACTATGAAACATTTTCACAGGCAAGCTAAGGAAGTATGGGCTGGATGAATGGACTGTAAGGTGGATAGAAAACTGGCTGGAGCATTGGGCTCAGAGAGTAGTAATCAATGGTTCAGTGTCTAGCTGGCAGCTGATATCAAGTGGAGTCAGGAGGGGTCAGTCCTGGGGCTGGTTTTGTTCAGTGTCTTCATCAATGATCTTGAAGATGGCATAGAGTGCACCCTCAGCAAGTTTGCAGATGACACCAAGCTGGGGGGAGTAGTAGATATGCTGGAGGGTAGGGCTAGGACTCAGAGTGACCGAGACAAATTGGAGGATTGGGTCAAAAGTAATCTCATGAGGTTCAAGAAGGAGCGGTGCAAAGTCCTGCACTGAGGACAGAACAATCCCATGCCACCGGTACAGGCTGGGGGCTGACGGGCTGGGCAGTAGTGTGGCAGGGCACTGAAGGTGCCTGCCACTTTAACAGTCTGAGCCAAGCTGCCAGCAGGTGCTTGATTGCGGCAGCCATTTTAGATCCCATGGCTGCCTTTATAATCAGATCAGTTTCCTGCTGGCAGGGCAGGCAGCAATATTGCCTGGTTGCAAGGCTTCATGTATCATCTTGGAGGTAAGGGAGGAGCTGTAGGGGATGGCTTGGAGGCTCCTGGTCCTGGGTATGACCTAAAACTGCACCCTGCTGGGAGTGGGTGGCCTGGTGGGGCTCTCAGTGGTGTGGGAGCCCCCAGGAAATGCCAGACCAGTGACCACCCTGGTGAAAGGCGAGTAGGGGCACCTTAACCCCAGTCCTCACCTTCAGGTGGGTTGAGAATAAGATCAGTAGCCAAGCACAATGACCTGCTGCTTAAAGCGGGCAGTGAGAGTCCCCGTGAGACCCTGGAGCACCAGTTGTGATGTGTGTGAGGGGAATATCATCAAAGGAGGAGTATAGGCCAGGAGAGCTTCTGGAAGCACCTGAGCCAGCTGGGGAGAGACCCTGCAGGGCCAGGCATGCTCCCAGCAGCACCTGACCTGGGAATGGGGAACCCCACTCCAGAAGTGCAGGCAGGAGGTGAAGACCCCACTGAGGGACTCAACTGGTCAATGTTGGGGCCAGGACCTGAGGGTCAAAAGGGCCAGGGGCCCACTGCAAGGGATGCCCACGATGAGTGCAGAAGCTCGGGGTCCCAACTGGGCCTGGGACAGGGTCAGGGCTTACGGAAGCTGAAGGTCCCCACGGTTGGGGACGACAGATAATGGGCAAAGGCGAGGGTTTAGCTAACTGCCTGAGATGCCATCTGCGAGGCTTGGGCCACGGTGTAGGGATGGAATGGAACCGTGAATAGCTCCCCCAATATTTGGGTGCAACAATGGGCAGCCTCCCGCCTTAGTTAACAATTTTATTAATTACCAACAAGGCATGGTGGGTGAGACAGGTGGGCGGCGTGCCCAGAGGCAGGTGGGGAGCTAGCTGCAGCTAGTGAGAGATGCCCACCTCGCCACAAGCAGCTGTGAAGAATAGGACCTGGGGGTTACAGTGGACAATAAGCTGAATATAAGCCAGCAGTATGCCCTAGTTGCCAAGAAGGGTAATGACATACTGGGTTGCATTGGTAGATGTGTTGCCTGTAGGTCTAGGGAAGTAATTTTATTTCTTTCTATTCAGCAGTGGTGGGGCCACATCTGGAGTACTGTGTTCAATTTTGGGCCTCCCACTATAGAAAGGATGTGGAGGGAGTCCAGTGGAGGGCAATGAAATGGTGAAGGAGCTGGGGCATATGACTTACGAGGAAAGACTGGGAGAACTGGGCTTATTTAGTCTAGAGAAGAGGAGACTTAATAACAGTCTTCAACTACCTGAAGTGGGGTTCGAAAAAGGATGGAGCTAGGCTATTTTCAGTGGTGGCAGATAATGGAACAAGGAGCGACGGTCTCAAGTTGCAGCAAGGGAAGTTGAGGTTAGATATTAGGAAGAATTTTCTCACTAGGAAGGTAGTAAAACACTGGAACAGGTTACCCAGAGGTGGTAGAAGCTGCATCCTTGGTGGGGAGGGTTCAAAACCCGGCTAGAAAAAGCTTTGGCTGGGATGATCTATTTGGGGCTGATCCTGCTCTGAGCAGGGGGTTGGACTAGATGACCTCCCGAGGTCCCTGCCAACCCTAATTTTCTATGATTCTGTGATCTGCCAGGGGCCTAAGTGTAATGCATGCAACATCTTACAGACAAGTGGAGATTGAGGGATTTTAACACCTTATGAAAAAGGTATGGGAGAAATGATGAAAACACAAAAACGCTACACGGAATTATTTTGTCTAAAATATGTTGCGGATAAAGGGGCCCAATTTTGATTTCAGTGGAGTGGGTCTTGACCCAAGGTTGAAAATGTCTACCCTGCGTATGTTATGTATTAGTGTAATCATCTTCCAGTGTTCCCAGTCTTCTAATCTTAGATCCCAGTCGTAGATCTGCTGTGTTTCAGAAGAACCAGTAGCACTCTGACTTAATTTTTCTGTTTTCTTTTTCTCAATGTCCATCTGAGAGCATCACTCCCCCATTGTGTTGTCCACTGATAAAAATGAAGATGCTGCAGTATAGAGAAGATAGAATATTTATCATAAATGAGAGCTGTTGGTAGATTCACTCTGATGATGATGAGGTGAAGAACTTGACGAAAAGAAAATGTAGGCAGATTACTCATTTCCAGTAATAATGGTGAGATGTAACTAGCTTAGTATATGTGTTTGGACTGAGTTATTTAGATAGCATGATTCTCTGTGTGTCTTTATAGTCACAGTTTAAATGTTAAGCAGCATATTTCTCTGATATTGCAGGCATAGTTAGGAATTATTCTTCTGCAGTTTTGCAAACTACTTCACAGAATAGTCAGATTATGGGGAAGGCACAGACCTGAACAAAGAGGTGTAATGGAGACAAATTCTGTTGTGCCTATTTTCTTCATTGGGAATAGGCACAGAAAGTAGTACTCCAAAGTTCAGGGTTTTTTTTATTTTTCCTGAATATTATCAATAAGAATGGAATGCTCTTATGAGGAAATATTTCCAGACATTGTTTTAGAGCCCTGCATTAAATGTATTGTGTTGCACAAGTAGAAGCAGGGAGAGCAATTCTGTCATGGGGAATTACAAGACATTCCAGCTCTTTGATGTTTAGGATGAGAATACTCTAACCAGCATCTCCTTTACAGTGAAAACCTACTTCATAGCCAGTAAGCATTGTGTATATCTGTTGCATAACTTACTTTTTCTTTGTCAGTTTTGTCCAGAGTGCAAATGGACTGCAGATGTCTTTGGCCTTTCTCTGACTTGTGCAACGAGGCTTTTATGCAATCTTTGATGTACTGACCAAAGACATACTGCTTCATACACAGAGACAACAGCTGTAAAATAATATCCTTTTAATTGCATGTACTATTAATACCACTTATACAGGTGTACTGATAGTTGGTACATCTTCTCACCTTCCTTTATTACCATCATCATTTGTTGATTTTTTTTTTTTTTTTGAACGTCATACAGAAAGTATCAATCGAGTGCACTTGCGCTATATGCAACCAAAGGATATACTGGAAATGTGCCTAAAGCCTGCAGTAACATCTAATGAGCTAGTGCTGCTGTCTCCCAGAACCAACTGCATCTCGAAATCCCTCTGATATGCTTTTTGGAAGGAAAATTTAATTAACAAAACTGCTGCTATAAAATAACCTCTATTTTGTTTGTATATTTTGCTCCAGGGCAAGGGTTCTCACTGTTCTTTCTTAAATATTTTAATAGCAAGTTTCAAGGGTGGTCATGTTAGACTGCTTTCCCTCCCTCTTTAATTACTGATCTGTATAAAGAGCAGGCTTTGGAGGCCCAGGCCTGAATCCCTTGCACATCCCAAACTTTCATTGAAGTTAAGGGATTGGTCTGAACATGAGGAAAGAAATTACAAAACAAGTTTATTCTTAGATCTGCCGTGACACACTAAAAGCTAAGTGCATGTATTACCTCCCCCAAAGGTGTTTATAAAACTAGCATTATGCTATTTATAAGAAGAGTTTAGTTCTACCTTCTCTTTTCATAAATAGCTTTTTACCAAAAAAAAGCTGAAAATTATAAGGAAAGAAAAATACTTCAAAACATTTTTATATTAAGCAACAACAATAATAGTTTTAGGCTAAACTGATTCCTCCATTTAAAGAGGAAACTTTCTACAGTCTTATGCCATTCTTGAGAAATACTCTAGATTTCTTCTTTGATTTTGGTAAATTTACCAGAATTATTCCTTTAATTTTCTTACATTGCAGGGAAAGCATGTTGTTGCAAGTCTTGAACTTCTAGTCTGTTCAGACTGTTGCCATTTCTTATTATTTAATACTTCCAAGACTTCCAACAGAGCAACCAAACACTTTCCAGTCTTGACTTGACCTCGGAAACAGTTAGACAATTAGAGAAACAAAACAGAGAGGATCTGATTTGTTTAATAAACATTTAATAACTTTATACTAACTACTACTACTACTACTAATCACTAATAATAATATTCCTTTCCTTGCAGTGACAGAACCTTGACAGTGCTGTCATTCCCCTACTTTATCTGTGGCAAGCTAGGGCACTTTTGATACTTTGAGCATTGTCTTTGGTGGCTGTTTATGAAATTTTTTAAGAGTAGGTTGTAGGTCTTGCTGAAGTATGAATTAATACAACCATAAATCAGTGTGTAAACAAATCACACAGAGGCCCTGCTAGCTGTATGAACCCAAGCAGACTCCTGTGAATACAAAACTAGGCATGTGGATGTCATAACCCAAAGGTATGATTTTGTGTGTGCTTCGGCACTAGAATTATCCCTGCCAAATTGCAGCTTCATTGCATGGTAGAGTTTTCTGCTGCAGAGGAGAACCCCGGTGCAAGGAAGAGTTTCCCGCCTATTTGCAGCTTCCTTTGCAGAGTGCATTGCTCAAGTTGCAAGAGAAATGCACGGTGCAAAGGAGTTCCCGCCACCCGCATGCAAATTTGTGTCCTGCTATTGGCTAGTTCTAAATTATTCCCACGTGGCGGCTAACGATTGGCCTGTTAGCCGTATAAGAGGCTTGAGCGGTTTCCGCCCAAGCCGAAGAGGACTCCACATCCATCTCGTGGGGACTCTGGGTACACGGCAGGGTAACAGAAACCCTGTGTGAGATTCAGAGGAGTTTGGCGACCTGATCCATCGCCCACCTCTTCCCGTTTTCGAGCGATAAGTTAATAAGACGTATCTACGAAGTTCCTATTTTGGTGGCGTGCTTGTCCACAGCATCCGGAGCTCTGTTTCCGTGGAGCCTAGCAAACTCCATGTGATCGTTCGTGTTGTTTTTGTCTGTAACCGCAACTCAAACAAGTTTTCCAGCCTGCACCGCAACCATCTCCGGTGTAAGTAAACAATCTTTAAATCTACTGCTACGAGTCTGCGCCTAATTCTAGCTTGACGTGCCCTCTCTCCGACCCCGCGTGCCCGGGCTGCTGGCCACAGCCCGCGTGCAGCACAAAAAAGGGCCCGGCTCGCGCCCGGCCCGCACAGTGGAAATGCTGGAAAAGGACCTTGTTAATTTTTAGAGATGCCTCCAAGACCAACAGATAGAGAATCCATTG